AGATGTGACAAATCATTATCGCAGAATTGTAAAATGGGTAAGGTTGGAAGGGACCATAGTGGGTCATCTGGTCCAATCTCCTTGCTCAATCACTGTCCTCTACAGCACATTACTCAGGATTGTGTCCAGACAGCTTTTGAATATCTCCAGTGTCGGAGGCTCCACAACCTCTCTGTCCAATCTGTTCCAGTTCTTGGTAACCCGAACAGTAAAGAAGTTCTTCCTCATATTCAGGTGGAACTTTCTATGCATCAGTTTCTGCCCATTGCCTCTCATTCTATTGCTTGGCACCACCAAGAAGAACCTGACTTCATCATCTTAACAACCTCTCTTCAGATACTCATAGACACTGATGAGGTCCCCTCTCAGTCATCTCTTCTCAAGTCTGAATAGGACCAACTCTCTGAGTCTTTCCTCACCAAAGAGGTGCTCCAGTTCCCTAATCATCTTTGTCTCCCTGCATAGGACCCACTTCAGGAGCTCCATACTTCTCTTATAATGAGGAGACCAGAACTGGACACAGTACTCCATATATGGCTTCATCAGGGCTGAGTAGAGGGGCAGGATCACCTCCTTCAACCTGCTGTCAATGTGCTTCCTAATGCACCCCAGGATACCATTGGCCTTCTTTGTCACAAGGGCACTCTGCTGGTTCGTGGACAGCAGGACTCTCAGGTCCTTCTCCACAGAGCTCCTTTCCAGCAGGTTGACCCCCAACCTGTACTGGTGTATGGAGTTATTCTTCCCAAGGTGCAGGACCCTGACTTGCCTTTGTTGAGCTTCAGACAGTTCTGCTCTGCCCATCTCTCCAACCAGTCGAGGTCCTCCTGAAGTAATGCACAGCACTCCACGGTATCAGCCACTCCTTTCACTTTTCTGTTATCAGTGAATTTGCTGAGGAGGCATTTGCCCCTTCATCCAAGTCAGTGATGAATAATTTAAACAATATCGAACCTTGTACTGAGCCCAGTATTGAACCTTGGGGGACAACACTGTTAAAGGGACTGCAACTAGACCCCGTACCACTGATTACAGCCCTCTGGGATCTGCCATTTAGCCAGTTCTCAATCCACCTCACCATCCACTCATCCAGTCTGCATTTGGTGAGCTTGTCTATGAGGATATCGTGACGGACAGTGTCAAAAGCCTTTCTGAAGTCAAGGTAGACAATATCCACTGCTTTCCCCTAATCTGTCCAGTCAGTTTTTCCTTTGTAGGAGGCAATCAGGTTGTTCAAGCATGATTTCACTTTGATGAGTCCATGTTGACTATTCCTGATCACCTTCTTCTCTTCCACAGGCTTATAGTTTGTCTCCAGGATGAGCTGTTCTATCAGCTTTCCAGGGATGAAGTTGAGGTTGATTGACCAGTAGTTCCCTGGGTCCTCCTCCTTGCCATCTTTTAAGACTGGGATGACTATTGCTTTCTTCTGGTCATCAGGCACCTCTCCTGACTGCCATGGCCTTTTAAAAATGATTGAGTGGTCTAGCAATGATGTCTGCCAGTTCCCTCAGCACTCATGGATGCATCCCATCAGGGTCCATGAACTTGTGGATGTCAAGTTTGAATAAATGGTCTCTAACCCGATCCTCCTCGACCAAGGGAAAGTCTTCCTTGCTCAACCCTTGCTCCATACCTTCTCCCTGCTCTGCTGGGGCAGACATTCCTGAGGGCTGTCCTTGGTATTAGAGACTGAAGCAAAGAAGGTCTTTGAAACCTTTGTTGCAAGGGTCCCTGTTCCACTCAGAATCAGGTCCCCATTTTCCCTAGTATTTCCTTTCATAATTGACCTATTTGAAGAAGCCCTTGTTGTTATCCATCCCTAGCCAGATTTAATTCCAGAGGGACATTGGCCTTCCTTGTTGCATTTCTGCGTACTCTGACAACATCCCTATATTCATCCCAAGTGGCCTGTCCCTTCTTTTATCTCATTTGTATCTCCTGCTTATGTCTGAGCTTTTACAGGAGTTCCTTGCCCAGCTGTGTAGGTCTCCTGTTCCTTTGGCTCACTTTCTTGCCCATGGAGATGCACCATTCTCAAATTTTTATATAACAATTGTTTCCAGCTTTCCAAAACATCAAGTTGGGCTAAGAGTAGAAGAAACTAAGATAGAAACCTACAAAGCCAAGGAAAGATATTGGGAATTTCATTAGTAGATATTAAAACGTCACTGATATTATTGCTGCATTTTGTGTCTGTTAAATCACTATTTTTTCTCACAGACACACATATAAATATGAAAACAGCCAGACTATCTGGTATTTTGTTTAAAAGTTTTTGTCCACAGTGTGTAGTGGAACATGCTGAACATGAATGTGGCTCTGGCATTCACACTGTGCAAAAACATGACAAGTTATTACAGCCCTCGCATTCTCAGTCTGCTTTGTCTTTAAAAGGATAACAATAATCCTCCTTTTCCCTTTCTGAGCCTTAGATTTAGGTAATAAGCTCCTTTTGGGTATGGACTATCTGTTAAATTGTGCATGTTCAACACTGCCATCTCTACTGAGACCTATAGGCCATATTTCTAATAAAAAATAATAATAAGACACTGTATAACAGGCTTATCACTAGTTTGGGCTGACAAACACACACCTTCATACTAACATTATTCCTTACAAGTAATGTAGATTATTATATGTTTATCATGCCAATAACATGTCTAAAATATGATTCATCCCAGAATTATATAGATAAATCCTTCATATCACTCTTCACAAGGTTATATGTTTCATATAGATAGATGTAAAGGCTATTGTTTTTCTTTTTGAATTTTTCATGACAGTTTATGAGTTAAATCCTATATTGTACAAAATCTCTTCCTGGCAAGTGGACAGTAAAGAACCAAGCAGGTGGCATTTTACAGACTTATAGGATTCAGCTGCTGAGCCTACAGTCAAATGAGAGATGAGAGCAGCAAAAAGGCCTGGTCTTCTTTGGTAGTATTATAAATGGATAGAGTTACTCTCTATATGTGAAATTTCTTTAAATCCAGAGAGAAAATCAGATTAAAGGCTAGTATAATTCTTTCTGGATGAAATCACATTCTGCCCATAGAAATTCTATGTGATGGATTTTTATTGCTGAATGCTGCTGTACAGAGAAATTCAGCACTGGTACCATTTCAGGGGAGGCATTTGAAGGCAAAAGCATTAGAAGATGGTGCTGGGCTGGCATAGCCCACCCAGAGTCAGTCTGTTCTCTTCAAAACTGCTTCTCATGTATAAGATGAAAGGCTGCAGAAAAAAAAATGAAGCTTCAAGAATTATTCCACTTAATAATAAGTCAAGCAAAACAATCATCTTATAGGATTTTGTTTGTTTGTTTGTTTATCCCATGGAAGAAAGTGAAAAAAACAGGCTGAGCTGTCAGGACAGTAAATAGGAAAGCTTAGACAGACTTTGGAAAAGTGAGGTATGGAAAAATTTTGCCCTCTGTTAAAAGGGTTTTATCTTTAACATTACTCATTGTTCTTTGTTGAGTAGAAAGAAAATGGTCTGAAATTTTACCAAAATCAAAGTCCTAGGCATTTGAACTGTGCAGATAGCAAATTTCTACCTAAATTGTAGGAAAAATACTGTAATTAAAAATATACCAAAAAGCCTTGCTTACTGTAATCCAGAAATCTTCACCTCATGCACATATTGCATATGATGTCAGTGATTTTTTTTGTTTGTTTTATCTTTAACCAAGATGTTAAAATGATTTATTGACTTTCTATTACGGGTCTATATAATACAAGGTACAACAGATGTACTATAATGTCACCAGGTTCTAAGAATAATGTGAATGTCCAAACTTTATATACATAAGGATATCTTCTGGTCCTTCTTTAGTTTATATGTCTAATTAAAAAATAAATATGCTTTGGAAAAGTGGTGGAAGACAACAGACAATGGACTAAAACTTCTAATTATTACCTGCATTTTTATCCTATTTCCCTCCAGAGAATAGTAAGGATGATTCACCAAGGACAAGTCAGTATAATCAGAGAAAATATCAGCTGTATATAATTATATATACATACATATACATATATCTGCCTTTATTTTTTAATTTTTCTTCTCTAAATTTGCAGAGTAAAGGAAAACAGTCATAAATATTTCAGAATAGTACAAGTTTTCCATTGCTAGAGCTATGAAAATATATTGACAAAAATATTTTAGGAAAAGAACAGTATCTTTTTGAAATGAAAACACATCTCCTGTGGAAATTTTAATTTGGACTGGAAATATGTTCTTTATGACTAAAAGTACAAACTTGCATTTAATTGAAAGGTTTTTAAAATTGTAGAGCTTATTTTTTTTTGCAATAAATTGTATACATTTCAAATGGAAAATATGTTATTCAGATTTTAGCATGGTGCTTTTGTAGCTGGCTCTGGCTCCAGATTGGTCTTGTACTGTATCATAGATGTTTGACCTGAAAGGAGCTGCAAAAGGAAGTTAAGTAAACAGCAGTTATTTTTTCAAAGAAGTTCAATGATGACTTTTACCCTACTTTGTTGTGTGAAAAAGATCTGCTCATTTTTATATAACAACATGAAGCAAATGAAAAAAATTCATCCTTCCTTCACATCTGTGAGCTTGAACGTGAAGCAGAAATCATTACAGACCTGATTTTTCAGCTTATATTCACAAGAGTGACCCCACTATCGTAAATAAGGACTACACGATTAATGCCCATGTCAGGAAAAAGAATGTTTCTAATCATCTCTGTTGTAGCCACTCAGAGTGAAAGTAAGTCTCTGCTGTATACAATGGTGCTTTCTATTGCCTCCCTCTGCATTAAGCAAAACCCTAATTCCCACTGTATTTATATTTCAGTCATCATTTGCTAGTTATGTGGCAACATATTCATCTGCCCTGTTCTTACAGCATTTAAAATCAACAAGGGAAGCGATCTTTCAAGATGTATTAAAATACAACCCCCTTAGCAGCCATCTTGCTATACTTTAGGTATTTGAATAAAGGATGATTTGGTATATTATTGCATGCAGGCAGCTAAAATGGAAAAAGGAGAAGATGGATGTGCCAGGCCACCATGGACAGCTACAGAAGACGGACTTAAACACCTGCTTCTTTCTGCTTAGCAAAAGCCACCATGGAACTGAGGAGGTAAAAAGGACCTTTCCTTGGAAAAAAATTGTGTGATGAGTGAAGTGTTACAGGTGACAAGGATCATTCCTTGGAAGTGTGTCTTTCTTTCCAAGGAGATGGCAGGTAAACTTCTGAGTCCGATTCCTAGATTTCCTCCCCTCTCCCTCACCACCAATGAAAAAGGAAAACAAAAAGGAAGAAAACACAACAAGAGAATGAGGTAGCCACTTCATCACTGTTTATTTCAGTTTTTTCTTCCATAAACTAATAATGACATGGCTGACACAATGTGTATCATATGGTATGTGAGCAAAGCTCACTATAAGAACCTCTGATGCTTTGTTAATGAAAGACTCATTTAAACCTTAAACTGTGCATGAATAAGGAAATGTATGTTTCATGTCAGTAAATAAACACATAAATAAAATCCTCTACTAAGGGAAAAAAATATCAATTTTGACTTGGTGGGGACTTCCCGTGATTACAAAGTTGTAATTAAGATTTTATGGTATTTGGTCTATAGCATTTTCTGGCGCATCTCCGAGTATTCTTGCTTGTGAAGTATTCATTTAATGCCTCAACTCTTTCACCATCCTCTGTGACTTCAGTTCCTGCTCACTCTTGTAATATTGCAAATTCTTTGGCTTCTCACTCACTCTCACAAGAGCAATAAAAACCTTTTCAACCTTCTGCCATTTCTGCCCATCAATTAAAATTACTTTCTTGCTGCAGCAGCTGGACATTTTCAAGTTTATTTCAGTGCAGATGACAGCATTTTGCTGAATCACTTGCAGGAATCATGGGTTAGTACACTGTGTCTAACTGGGAAAAATCACTTGAAATCAACTCCATAATTTTTCAGTGACTTAAGTGAGTTAAGCAGTTCCTAGTATCTTATACGGTATTATGAAAGAAAAAAAGTGCTGTCAAAATGTGTAGTATTAAACAAGTGCAAAATTACAAGACTGCATGAGTATGCAGTTGATATAAGCAACTTGCTGTAGTTCTCTCTCTCTTCTTGAAGGCTAACATCTCTTCGCTGAGATGTTATTTATCAGACCTTTGTACTGCAACCGAAAACAACATTTCTCAGAAGAATCTAGTACTGGTCTTTTCATACTTGTCTTCTGTAACTCAGGAAGCTTGTGTTTTGGAGCAGGAGATAAAAATTAACTTCTGTCCACGGGGAATAGATATTTTATGCATCATATAAGCATAAAGAAGCATGTGATACAGAAGATTTTGTTCAGAATGAACATGACACAGTGATCTACAAGGTAGAATTTCTGTTCCAATAGGACAAGAGATTAATATCCATGAGGAGAATAATTACTACCCATGAAACTCTGGAGATAAATTAGTAACAGCAATTACCTCAAGGGAGTGTGATTTGCACATCACTTTAGATTCAGTATAGCCAAGTATTTTTCATCTTATGACATTGTAGTAGTCACACTTAAAGGCACATTAAAACATCTGCTATCCTTGATGGTGTCTCTCATGATTCCATGTAGCTCTTACAAAAATTAACTCAGTGTTTAAAGAACTTGCTTATGCCCAGTATGGATCTTGCCCACCAAGTATCACTCACAATATCTGAGGACCTTAGCAGCCTACTTGTGGTCTTTTTCATAATTTCACATTTATTTCTTCCCTCCTCTTGGAGAGAAAAAGTTATAGAGATGTACTTACACGTATTTTATTCCCCTGTGTAAATGTGGATATTCACAAATAATGAAAAAGCTTTTTGCTTTATTTTTTTCCTTCTGTCAGAAGAACCTATAGTGCTTTAAGTCCACCATTTGGATTTTTACATTGTTTTCCTTCTTCTTTTTATTCTCCCACTCCCGCGCCCTCCCATTTAGACAAGAATGCAACTATACAATAAGTTGGCAGTCATCCTTGAGCAGTAATGCAGAAAAGTGAGATGAGCTGAAGATCCTTTATGCTGTCAAAGATGGAAAAGTACAAGTAGGTCTCCCTTGTGCCTGATACTTCTTTACTTAGTTGCCTATTCTTTAGGAAGGTGATGTAAATAAAGACAGATAGCAGTTTTAATTCATTACAGCCACTCATGCATTTGGAAGGTCAGTTTCAGACAAGCAAGCACAAAGGATTACTGGGTGCACTTGCAAACACTCAGTAGCCATAGGTCCACTTCAAGCCAATCTGAGCTCCATTCTCATCCTTTCATTTCTTCAAATGAAAGGCAGGCATCTCCCCTGTTTTGCTGTCTTTATTAACAGGCAAAAATGGTGTTGCTGGTGCTCTTAATATTTCTGTGTTCTTATCTAAGATACCTCAGATTCTTCTGGAAAAGAAAAGGCAGAGAAAGTATCCTTCGGGTAAAAAATTGAAACCTTATCTCTAGTATATAAAGCAAAGCCTTGCAACCTCTGTCAATGGAAGGAAAACACCTTTTATCCATTGCAGGATATGTAATGAAGTAAGTATTCCTCTGCTGACCTTCCATTATCTGTGGCAGGTTTAGTGTATGCAGGAGTCAGCTTTGGAAGAGTACAGAATTTCACATTACCAGACTGCCCTGGGACTCAGTAGAGATTCAATGGCATCATCCACACTCTCGTGAAAGTCTTGCTTTAAGGGATGGCCTCATGCGCGGGTCACTGTATAGTGATTCTCATACCTGTCACTCAAGTGCTGTGTAGACTTAGCATTAGCAAACAGGAATAAATAATTTTTACTAGCCATACAAAGAATCGCAGAGCACCAAATATTGGTAGAGGCACCACATTCCTAAAATACCTAACTAGGTACATGGGTGGAGCAGAAACTGGAGAAACATTTAAATTTATGAGAACAAGGATAAGGAAGTGAGAAGTCAGTAGCACAGCCACTTCCTGAGATGTTAACCTGACATGAGTAAACTGACACTCACTTTTCAGATTAAGGGCTTAACAGAAACTGCAAATGGCACAACGTTAATCTTGACTTGAGACAAGGATAGTAATGAAAACGGGAACTGGCTGAGACTTAACCCATTCTTCTAGCTGTCTTAAAACTGTAATCTCAAAATCCTCTTTAGATGATGGAGTTTGTAAGGCTGGAAATAGTAATTTCTAATGGCATTTTACAAGCCATTAAGAATCTGTATACCTCAAGAGAATGCCACATGTCACAGCCTTTTTCCAGGCTGAAAAGTACTTGGGATTATTGTTATTTTGGACATCTTTCTTATTTTATCTCTTTGTCCTAAAATGTAATCTGTTTCTGATCTTTGCTATGTATTTTTTTTATTCCTCTTGGTACAAAAATGTCACATTATAAAAAAGAATAGTCTGTTCAGGTCTGTTCTGTTCCACTTCTCTGAGCACTCAGAGCTTGATCAACATGCTACCAAGGCAATGAGACTTTTCCCAATGACTCTGATGGGAGCTGAGCTGGGCCCTAACTCACTATAGAGCCACAACACCAAATTAATTGGGACAATGGTAAATGTTCTTGATTCCTTCAAGTGCCCTAAAGCTCTTCCTCCAGAGAGATGAGACTAGAAATAACACAAATGCTGAGAATCTTTTAAGATGTTTTCCAAAAGATCTGTGATTTTCCTTTTCCACCGAAGACAAGAAACAAACACTGCCACATAGTCTCCCATCCAGCAAGTTTTCAAGCTGTAGATGTCTTGCTTCCTGTTCTTAGAGAGTTTACTTCCCCATTTGTTCAAGCAAATTTGTATTGGAACCATTTATAAAGTTTCAAATACTCCCACATTTTGCACTGCCATCTGACTCTGCCCCAAGTCTGGGGTTCTTTCACCCTCTAGTGCTTCCCAGGGCTAAGCATCTGCATGCAAGAAAGCTGAAGTAATTAGCTTCAACATATACTTTCATGTGTCTGCACAAATCTGGCATTTGCCAGAAAAAACTTTGACAGGCCTAATGTATGGGTAAAGAAATGATGGGCAAAGAAAAGCTTTGAAATAATAATAAAAAGATTTATTACAGTATTTAAAAAATAACACTACAGTTTCAAGCACAGAATACCAGCTGTTGGTTGATAATACAAGTGGAAAGTTTTAGTAGCTCTGAACAAGAAAAAAAGAAGCATCTTCAAAATAAAGATATTAAAAATAATTAAATTCTATTTTAAATATATAAATGGTACATGTCTGTTAAAGTGAATTGGCAGTGGGATTTAGGTAATTCCTGAATTAACAGCTTTAATGAAGAAGAAGAATGCATCATTCCATTAGATCTGGAGAACTCAAGAGGACTTGTAGTGGGGTAAACCCATTTCAGATTCATGCTTCTGGACTGGAAAAGACTTCATGACATTGTATCAGCAACAACCTACCAAGGAACAGAACGGAAATCTGATACTTCATACACAAAAGCATCAACATAAAATCTCATGCTAAGGTTTAAGTTCCTATAAATACTTTCAGGTTTTAGATGTGCCTAAATTTCAGGAGCATTCATAAAAGAATATCTATGTTGTCTCTCTTGTTTTGTAGGAAATTAAAACCATGCTTAAGCTAAACTCTGTGGCCAGAAAATTAGGTTGGTTTTCTGCTTTTTGGTCTATCTTGTGGAAAGCTTTCTTCATAAAAATGTCTTAAGCTATGTGTGTTCCACAAATCTTGTTTTCAAGCTCCTTCCTTGACATCCTATAGAAAGATTCACTTTGTCTTCAGCATACTAGCATATTTTGTTCAAAATTTATATTCTGGCTAAAGAGTATGATGTCATATAAAGAAGAAAAGATGTCTTCAATCATTCACTTTTTGCCCTTTTTGCCAGAGATATTCAGACAATGTGGCTAAAATACCAGATTATTGTCTTACTAGCATATGTGTTTCTAATAGCCTTCTTTGGGAACAGGTTTTCTAGATCTTCCTTTTCTAAAACTTAAAAACATCCATCCGTACTCCAAGGACAGTGAAAAAAACATTTTTTTTCTTCATTATTGGCAAGTGCAATAATGATTGTTGTTTTCATACTATAACACAGATAAGGGAACACACTTCACTAAACTGTAAAATCTGTGAATTAAAGGATTCTCCCCCAAATCATCTGTATTTTTCTTACTGTTCTTATTTATTCATTGATGTTTTTTCATTTATTTAATATCAAACTTGATAAAGTAATCAAAATATATCTACAGAGAAACAAAATGGAATCTTATACAAATTACTGGAACAATAATATACCTACTATTTACTT